TTATATAATTAATTGAAAAAATTATCTATGCAAAATATTAAATTCAACCAACATAAATTGTTATACAATCAGATCATTTTTATTTATATTGCATACATGTTTTTAAGAATTGATTATTCATTTGTTATAATATATATGTGACTTGATCATGTGAATACTTATATTTGATTATTCTAATTTTTTATATGCACATTTTTTTTAACTTGTCATGTGAGATGAACGGTTCAGATTAGGAGATGGATCCAAATTGATTCCATAATATGCCAACCTCACTTATGAAGCTGAGGTCTTTAACTTTAACAAATTTGACTCAATAACTTCTGTGGTAAATCACATGTTTAAAATTATGGTTGGGAAAGCATAGAGTTGGGTTATTTGGGACAATAATGACAAAATAAACTAAAATAGTTAATAAGATAAAATATCACATCCAATCAATAATCATTTCACTTTTTTCTCACAATTATCAAATCAACTACTTAAAAAAAAAACCTATCTTCCCGAACACAACATTTTAAGCCAAACAAAAATAACCAAAAAGTCAAAAAATCAACTAAAATAGCTAACTTCCCAAATGAGGCCATTATTAGTATTTAGGACTTGTTTGATTGGGCAAATTATAGAATAGGGATAGAATTCTTAATCTACAATACTCATGTTCTAGTGTTTGGCTGTAATTTTTTTTATTCGGATTAGATTTCAATGCATATTCTTTCCAACAAAATTGGTAAGTTTTCTAATTGTACAACTATAATACTGCAAAATAAAAGTATAATTTAGAGTACATATATTTTTATATTCATTGCAAAACAAACCTGGATAAAAGGAATTATATACTAATCCATATAGATAACAAATTCTACACTAATTCCATAAATTATTAATCATCTCACTATTAATCTGGCTAATTAAACATGACCTTAATTACTCTCAAATATGTATAGTCTAATTTTGCACATTGATCATATAAAAATACATTTTTAGGACCCATTTTTTACATGAAAATCATTATATATATATATATATATATGTGTGTATGTATATATGTATGATGATTTCCCTCCTAAGGACACCTTCCAGGAAATAAATTAATAGAAAAAAAATTAAAATTATTTTGAATCACTAAATTCATAATTTTTGAACAAAAGTGTATTATGTTTCAAAATGTGACATAAATCATCTAATAATGTTGAGCTAAAAAGCCACCAATTTTTATTTAGTTTTAATTAATGGAAATTCAGTGTTTGGGGCTGAAATTTTATGTAATCCAATGAGCTACGGCCTACACATGATGAGCAAGAGTTGTCAATAAATAAAGGGTTAATTACACTTTTTAGCATTATAGTTTGATTCAAATTTTTACTTTAATTCTTGTAGTTTTAAATTGAGTAATTTGATCCTTAATTACATTTCGAATCTAGTTTCAGCATGATACTTTCGATCAAGTTGAAATAAAGCTAACAATTTTAGAACACTTGTAAGTCTCCTGAGATGTACACATAAGAAAAATTAATATTTTAAAGTATATCAACCGAATTATTTAGTTTGAAATTATAAGAAGCAAAATGAAATTTGAATCAAAGTATAAAAGGTAGAAGTATAATTATCCCATAAATAGATATAAATGAGATTCCTCAAAAAACAGGATACAAATAAGATACATCATTTGTATGAATTTTTTAAAACAAAATTTGTTTGTATAGAGCATTACTCTAAACAAAATTATGAAAGGTGGAATGTCCAATAATTTATTATTATTATTATTATTATTATTATTATTATTAAAGGATGCATTTTGAGCCTCTCAGGTGTGCTTGCTCAAACTCAAATTCCAGCTCATTAATCTCATCTTGTTAACACCCAGGCAAACAGCATGGTTTCTCAGCTTACTAGCCCTGGGCTTGAGGTCGAAGAGTTGATCTGGGTCAGGGCAAATTAGCAGAGGTAGATCTACTCTTTTTACAAACCTGTTTTCTCAGCAATCAAAGTTCAAACTAGGCGGATTCACTTCGGGCTTTAGATACTCCCGCAGATCAAATCAAATCAAATCAAATCTCCTTTGATAGAGACACAGTGGTTGTTCATAGAAATAAAAAGAGGATCTCTGATCACATTTTTCAACACTACCAAAAAAATCTAAACCCCTAGTTGTGTCCTATTTTACTGCCTATGAAGGAACTGCCTTTATACAGTAGTAAATACAGCTGCTAAAAAGATTATATCAACAATAGATGCTCCAACTTACTTCCTGGCTCTCTTCAACAGGAAACGCAATGAAAGAATCCCAAGCGCAAGAGTCTGCCAAAACCAGCCTCCTGCATTCAAAGGATCCACTTTTTTTGCCAGATGCCACGCATACATAGCCTCTCCAATATGAGCTGCTGTAGCCAAAATGAACACTATTCTCATTACCCACATAGACCGGAAGAAGAAGAGACAGAAATCTCTTAAAAGTGACACAAGTCTGAAAGCTGGCCAATATGCAGCAATAAATAGCAAAGTCATTCCAATTACACTAAACATCCATGTATATATTGTAGGCCCGCCCAAACTTCTCATTTTCCTCTCTTGAAAATGTGATATGGTTGCGGCCATGCCCTCCTGAGGACTCACCATAGGGACATAGCCAAGCTCCTCCTTTGCTTTTAGGAAAGAGAAGTAATAAGTAACCCCAACCTGTCAAGAAATAAAACACACACAAATATATCAGATATGGTTCAGTACACAGTAGTGAAACTTGCAAAACCTAATAACAGATGTTACAGAATTTTTCAAGTTTGTCTGGAAATGTGGGTGTTGAGATGGGGTGGAAGGAATTATGGTAAACCATGTGGGAAGGTGCAGGATCAATTGCAACTAGGCCAAGTGAGAACTGCAGAATTTTAGGAAACTGCCGAGTGGCAATAGGAGGTATGCATCAAAGTGACGATATGTTTCATTAACCACTTAAATTGAAACCAGTAGAGGGGTATATAGATGACCCTTTATAAGATCCAAGTAGGAAGTGATTTTATGTTATGTTGCGTTGTGTAAGGATACTTTTGTACTTTGGACTGTACTACTATAATATATGGGAAAAAACCCCTAATATAAGGGAGATAACCCTTCTCTCTGATTTATTTTATTTTTGGATTGGCACTAGGTGTGAGGATCAAAGCCCGACTAATCCCTAGGGATGCACAGGCCCTCGGCAAGGAGTTTCCTGCAAGTGCACCACCATTAATTCAAGGGTTTTTCCCTAGTCCGGTGGCCCCAAGAAATTGTTAGTACCTAAGAGGTTTCGATCCTTGAACCTTGAAGGGAGCCCACCCCCAAGACCCAATGTTTGTTGTTTTTGTAAGCAGTAAGGAATGCTTTACAAGTCTACAATTATATTCAACCAGAAACCGAGGTAATTTAGAAGTGAACCTCGTGCACTTCAGTAGGAAGCATCAATGGTTGAGGAAGCCACCATTGGTTCAACCATGGATATAAGATAGTGTAGACCAACTGGAATATCCTTCCCAGAACAAGAGCATGAGAGACAGCTAATGACCGCTTTGGCAGGTCATACTCCAGGCTCTGGAGTAGTGGGCGAAGGAATTCAAAACTGTTGACTGGAGACCCTGTAAATCATTGCCTAATATTAAACCATTGCATGGAAAACAGTTAAATATTAAACACAGTTGACTCTAGTAACTAATCAGTTTTTCACATTCAAGTAGTCCTTCCTTGGAATCAAGGGTTAATCAATAACTTTAATGGACAATACTATACAAACTAACAAATCTTACTAACTTTTCTCGCAGATATGTGACACGCAGTCATAAGACTTTGGTATTTGAAATGGGACCCACTCAAATAATATAATAGGTACAAATCATGTGACTTTGTAAGTTGTGTTAGTTTGTATAGCATTACTCAACATTAATAGCTCTAGTTGCCACGAAATAAGTAAAATATTTCTAAGCAAATGGATTGAATATTACCATCTGATATAAAGTATGGTTGACCAGCAGCTATTGGATGTCCTTCCCTCTGGGGAATGTCATCCAAGAGTCCCATGCTAGCCAATATTAGGGCCAGAACAAGGTTATCTATATAAACCCAGTCTGACTTCACTCTTTCTTCATCAATTTTGAATGGCAGCAGACCTAACTTCGAAAGATTTATAATGCGGGGGAGATGTCTCTCCTCACCTGGTCCATAGATAGCAGCCGGACGAATTGCGCATGTATAGAGATTTCCATTCTTCTTCCTACATAGCATAGAAACATCGTACATAAATCAGAATCTTACAAACTAGACGAGGTCAGGTCAAGCATTGAAATTCATGTGTTGATTCTCTTTCTCTAAAGGCGCGAAGAACTTGATACTGCAAATCTGAAAAAGGGAGGATATTTTCATTAATCTGAGTTTGACTTTCTTATGCTATTTTCCAGATAACAAACAAAATTTTGAAAAGTGAGAATGCATAATTCTTCAATATAACCTAAATAAGTAAATTGAAGAGAGAAAACAACTAAGATGAAGTTCTCAATAGTCAACAATAATTTCCACAAAGAACCCTGTACTTGTAGTAGGGGTCTAGTAAGAATTGCATCTGAAACACTGTCTTCTTACTCAGATTGCTGGGATTTGCAAGATTAAAGAAGGGAATTCAATGAGTCATAAGAAAGTTGAATGACTTTTCTAAACAAAGGCAGTGTCTTATAGATTTGCTTGAGGCAATGCACATCAGAATCATTTTTACACTGTTCAAGGTACTGCTTTTTCATGTTTATTTAAGGTGTCTTGTTAGGATCACAAGTTATACATACTCTTTTAACGTCTATTTAATAGATCACAACATTGTTCTCTATGCTACTTCTATAGTTCAAAAATATATTATGGAAAATTTCATATTCATGTTAGTAGATGCTTGACATATACCAACCAAGGTTCTAAATATCGGCCGGTACGTTCCGTACCGGCCGGTTCGTACCGGAAAATGATAGGGCCGAGTCGGATACTCACCGGTATACCGGCGAGACTGAATTTCACGGCCGTAGCGGCCGATTCCCGATACGTATCGGGCTGAATCCGATACGTAAGCGATTTGTTGTCCGATACATGCCGATACGGCTGGAAAATGACAGTGTCTTGTGTATGTATGAGTGTGGTTGTTGAGCAAAGCAAAGCACGGCAATTACCTGCAAAACAAATTAAGAAAAGCAAAGCAATCACCTAAAAAGCAAAGCAAAGCACTTTGTGGAAAAGAAAAAACAAAGCAAAAGAACCTGTAAAAGAAAAAAACATGGACCAATGTACCTGCAAAAATAAAGCAAAAGGACCAAACCTCTGAAGAAAAACTCAGACTCACGGACTCACGGAATACATACACAGACTCACGGACAATAATACATACACAGATTCACGGACGGACACCATAAATGTGTTACAAACCTTTGAGGAAAAACTCAATCGGACCAAACCCAACTCCTCAATCAAACCCAAATCTATCTCCCAGGAGCTTCGATCTTGTAAAGTGTTGCGGCCTGCAGGGAGAAGCATCGAATCAAACCCAAATCCATCACCGATTTGAAGCTTCTTCGTTGAAGGTTTGTCTCTCACTCATGCTCTGTTTGTTCTCGTTCTCTCACCATACGATGCTCTGCTTTTTTTGTTTTGGAATTGGGTCTGCTTTTTTTGTTTTGGGTCAAGAAAGAAAGTCATAGCTTTGGTTTATAAGTTGTGTTTGGTTCGGTTTGTTTATAATTTTTTTTTTTTTTGTGGTTATTTTTTTAAATGCTTTTAGGATCCTCCCATGTGTGTACATCACAAATATGTGGTTCAAAGTTCGAGAAAATGGGCCCAAGGTGTTCAACATTAGCCCGGAAGTGTGAAAAACGGGCGCCGGAGGGCGTCGGAGGATGTATAACTGGTTGCTGCAACAATTACTGGCCTCCCACCCTTCAGTGACCTTCCTAGTGATAAAACAGAGGTACTTGCCAAAAACGAACGAAAACCGTTGCAAAATGAATGTTCGGGGGCCAAAACACGCAGTTCGGGGCCTCGAAAACTGCCCGTTAAACACCGAAAATGGTGTCCGACCACGAAGTGGGTTTCTCAGGCCCCAGTTTCCCTCAAAAGGGAGAAAATAGGAAGTATGCCAAAAATCAGAACAAACGGAGATGGTTAGGCGGTCCCGAACCGAGGCACACGGCCTGATGGCTCCGAAAACCGGGAACCGGACTCCGAAATGGGCAAAATGGCCTACGGCCACCAAATGTAGCCTATGGACATCGAGAGATGGTCCACGGGACCTCTCCCTTCCCTCAGGAAAAGAAACAAAGAAAACCGAGCCTGGTTCGCAAACCGAGGCAAAGTACAAAAGAGGGTTCGGAAGTCCGGAGGCAGGGCTCACGGCCGCAACTCTGAAACTTCTGAACGAGCACATTATGCAACATCACCAAGCGCTCAATCAGTGACGTCTGAGTCTTAAGGTCGGTCAAAAATGGGGTGTCTACAGCCTACTAACGCCACCTTCTCCCTCTCAGACTTGAATCCTAACCGCCACTGTTGCCATTAGAGAGCCTTGAGGGGGAGAGACAGAATTGCACAGAAAGGAGGGACAAGTCGATTTGCAATAGGGGAGGTGAGTGCGATAGGTTGGGAGAAGGGGATAGGGTGGTGGTAAGTTGGGGAGGTGTCTGGTTGATGCCGAACAGTGGGAAAGCGTGGGGCCATGACAGGAAGATCTAGGTAGGGACTGGCCGGAATTGGAGAGGATTTTTTTGTCCTGTTTAATAATTTAACTTGGTAAAATGATATTAAAGAGGAGTGATATTCAAACAAAATTTTCTCACAAAATTTAAGAAAAGAATGATGTGATAATAAGATTCTTATACTTAAATGATGGATATGTCAACTCCCAATAAATAGATATAAATGAGATTCCTCAAAAAACAAGATACATCATTTGTATGAATTTTTGAACACAAAATTTGTTTGAATAGAGCATTACTCTAAACAAAATTATGAAAGGTGGAATGTCCAATAATTTATTATTATTATTATTATTGTTATTATTATTATTAAAGGATGCATTTTGAGCCTCCCAGGTGTGCTTGCTCAAACTCAAATTCCAGCTCATTAATCTCATCTTGTTAACACCCAGGCAAACAGCATGGTTTCTCAGCTTACTAGCCCTGGGCTTGAGGTCGAAGAGTTGATCTGGGTCAGGGCAAATTAGCAGAGGTAGATCTACTCTTTTTACAAACCTGTTTTCTCAGCAATCAAAGTTCAAACTAGGTGGATACACTTTGGGCTTTAGATACTCCCGCAGATCAAATCAAATCAAATCAAATCTCCTTTGATAGAGACACAGTGGTTGTTCATAGAAATAAAAAGAGGATCTCTGATCACATTTTTCAACACTACCAAAAAAATCTAAACCCCTAGCTGTGTCCTATTTTACTGCCTATGAAGGAACTGCCCTTATACAGTAGTAAATACAGCTGCTAAAAAGATTATATCAACAATAGATGCTCCAACTTACTTCCTGGCTCTCTTCAATAGGAAACGCAATGAAAAAACCCCAAGCGCAAGAGTCTGCCAAAACCAGCCTCCTGCATTCAAAGGATCCACTTTTTTTGCCAGATGCCACGCATACACAGCCTCTCCAATATGAGCTGCTGTAGCCAAAATGAACACCATTCTCATTACCCACATAGACCGGAAGAAGAAGAGACAGAAATCTCTTAAAAGTGACACAGGTCCGAAAGCTGGCCAATAGACAGCAATAAATAGCAAAGTCATTCCAATTACACTAAACATCCATGTATATATTGTAGGCCCGTCCAAACTTCTCATTTTCCTCTCTTGAAAATATGATATGGTTGCGGCCATGCCCTCCTGAGGACTCACCATAGGGACATAGCCAAGCTCCTCCTTTGCTTTTAGGAAAGAGAAGTAATGAGTAACCCCAACCTGTCAAGAAATAAAACACACACAAATATATCAGATATGGTTTAGTACACAGTAGTGAAACTTGCAAAACCTAATAACAGATGTTAGAGAATTTTTCAAGTTTGTCTGGAAATGTGGGTGTTGAGATGGGGTGGAAGGAATTATGGTAAACCATGTGGGAAGGTGCAGGATCATTTGCAACTAGGCCAAGTGAGAACTACAGAATTTTAGGAAACTGCCGAGTGGCAATAGGAGGTATGCATCAAAGTGACGATATGTTTCATTAACCACTTAAATTGAAACCAGTAGAGGGGTATATAGATGACCCTTTATAAGATCCAAGTAGGAAGTGATTTTATGTTATGTTTGCGTTGTGTAAGGATACTTTTGTACTTTGGACTGTACTACTATAATGTATGGGAAAAAACCCCTAATATAAGAGAGATAACCCTTCTCTCTGATTTATTTTATTTTTGGATTGGCACTAGGTGTGAGGATCAAAGCCCAACTAATCCCTAGGGATGCACAGGCCCTCGGCAAGGAGTTTCTTGCAAGTGCACCACCATTAATTCAAGGGTTTTTCCCTAGTCCGGTGGCCCAAAGAAATTGTTAGTACCTAAGAGGTTTCGATCCCTGAACCTTGAAGGGAGCCCACCCCCAAGACCCAATGTTTGTTGTTTTTGTAAGCAGTAAGGAATGCTTTACAAGTCTACAATTATATTCAACCAGAAACCGAGGTAATTTAGAAGTGAACCTCGTGCACTTCAGTAGGAAGCATCAATGGTTGAGGAAGCCACCATTGGTTCAACCATGGATATAAGATAGTGTAGACCAACTGGAATATCCTTCCCAGAACAAGAGCATGAGAGACAGCTAATGACCACTTTGGCAGGTCATACTCCAGGCTCTGGAGTAGTGGGCGAAGGAATTCAAAACTGTTGACTGGAGACCCTGTAAATCATTGCCTAATATTAAACCATTGCATGGAAAATAGTTAAATATTAAACACAGTTGACTCTAGTCACTAATCAGTTTTTCACATTCAAGTAGTCCTTCCTTGGAATCAAGGGTTAATCAATAACTTCAATGGACAATACTATACAAACTAACAAATCTTACTAACTTTTCTCACAAATATGTGACACGCAGTCATAAGACTTCGGTATTTGAAATGGGACCCACTCAAATAATATAATAGGTACAAATCATGTGACTTTGTAAGTTGTGTTAGTTTGTAAAGCATTACTCAACTTTAATAGCTCTAGTTGCCACAAAATAAGTAAAATATTTCTAAGCAAATGGATTGAATATTACCATATGATATAAAGTATGGTTGACCAGCAGCTATTGGATGTCCTTCCCTCTGGGGAATGTCATCCAAGAGTCCCATGCTAGCCAATATTAGGGCCAGAACAAGGTTATCTATATAAACCCAGTTTGACTTCACTCTTTCTTCATCAATTTTGAATGGCAACAGACCTAACTTCGAAAGATTTATAATGCGGGGGAGATGTCTCTCCTCACCTGGTCCATAGATAGCAGCCGGACGAATTGCGCATGTATAGAGATTTCCATTCTTCTTCCTACATAGCATAGAAACATCGTACATAAATCAGAATCTTACAAACTAGACGAGGTCAGGTCAAGCATTGAAATTCATGTGTTGATTCTCTTTCTCTAAAGGCGCGAAAAACTTGATACTGCAAATCTGAAAAAGGGAGGATATTCTCATTAATTTGAGTTTAACTTTCTTATGCTATTTTCCAGATAACAAACAAAATTTTGAAAAGTGAGAATGCATAATTCTTCAATATAACCTAAATAAGTAAATTGAAGAGAGAAAACAACTAAGATGAAGTTCTTAACAGTCAACAATAATTTCCACAAAGAACCATGTACTTGTAGTAGGGATCTAGTAAGAATTGCATCTGAAACACTGTCTTCTTACTCAGATTGCTGGGATTTGCAAGATTAAAGAAAGGAATTCAATGAGTCATAAGAAAGTTGAATGACTTTTCTAAATAAAGGCAGTGTCTTATAGATCTACTTGAGGCAATGCAAATCAGAATCATTTTTACACTGTTCAAGGTACTGCTTTTTCATGTTTATTTAAGGTGTCTTGTTAGGATCACAAGTTATGCATACTCTTTTAACCTCTATTTAATAAATCACAACATTGTTCTCTATGCTACTTCTATAGTTCAAAAATATATTATGGAAAATTTCATATTCATGTTAGTAGATGCTTGACACATACCAACCCATTTGCTAATACATAAAAGTGACAATTTATTTGTTTATTTATTTTTTAAACCAGTTGAAACTTGAAGCCAAGAACAACAAGAGTCATAAAAATATAGTTAAAGAAGTGAGAAGCACACCTACTAAACAAGATGTCAGAGACAGCCCGACTGGTGAACTTGTGAAAATAAAATTACTTACTTGAGAGGGCGCCCATTGCTCTTTAGAACTAACTGTTCAGCAATACATTTGCTGCGGCTATATGGATCAACATAATCATCAAGAGGGAAATAAGGTAAGGTTTCATTGCCATTGATAATCTCCTTACCCCCAAACACAACGTTGTATGTGCTCACATAAACAAGCCTCTTAACCCCATGCTCAACACAAGCCTCCAAGACATGGCAAGTTCCATTTATATTCACATCATCAACTATGATACCAACCCATTTGCTAATACATAAAAGTGACAATTTATTTGTTTATTTATTTTTTAAACCAGTTGAAACTTGAAGCCAATAACAACAAGAGTCATAAAAATATAGTTAAAGAAGTGAGAAGCACACCTACTAAACAAGATGTCAGAGATAGCCCGACTGGTGAACTTGTGAAAATAAAATTACTTACTTGAGAGGGCGCCCATTGCTCTTTAGAACTAACTGTTTAGCAATACATTTGTTGCGGCTGTATGGATCAACATAATCATGAAGAGGGAAATAAGGTAAGGTTTCATTGCCATTGATAATCTCCTTACCCCCAAACACAACGTTGTATGTGCTCACATAAACAAGCCTCTTAACGCCATGCTCAACACAGGCCTCCAAGACATGGCAAGTTCCGTTTATATTCACATCATCCACGCGGCCAAATTGGAGCATTTCTTTCCCAGACATGCCATATGAAGCACGGTGAAAAACACAATCTGCGCCGTGTAACGCTTTTTGAACATCTTGTTTGCGGGTGACATCTCATATCATTATAAGAATTTGGCTAAGAAAGTTGCAGCCAATATGACTATGATTATGACTATGACTATGACTATCAATGGCAGTTAATGTCTTATTCATAGCAAAGGCAATCTAAGCAAATGTGTGTGAGATACAGTCATACAGCACATATTAGTTTTATTAAATAGATTCTGAAGCAATCATGTTTTGTAGATTCAAAACAGTGTGTGGACTATGTTATGAACTAAATATGCAAGAGAAGGAAGAAAATATTGCATCTGGTGGAAGCTTCCAAGTGCTTCATTTGGTTGCTGAGAAAGATGAGGAAAAGAAAAGAGCAACTTAAAAAAATTTAATTTCACTACTCGGATCATCTGTTTCTGGGAAACAAAACAACACAATTTGCAAGATTCAAAAATTAATCTATTTATTCTATTTTCCTCATTTGCAGAGTTACCAGAACAGACAATCCACTGGATCTCATTGAGGGGCAACAATCCATCTTAACTTGACTAATTACTTTACTTGGATCAGTATTCTAATACATGTATGTATGTATGTATGTATGTATATATATATAAATTAAAAATCCTACACAATGATCCTGAATCAAGTAATCAAAGAATTGTTCAGCAGAAACGGAACTCAAGATCCTAATTTATCATTTTCAGGGAAACAAAAAAAGAAAAGAAAAAAGAAAGAAGTCCCGAGAGAGAGAGAGAGAGAGAGAGAGATGCTTGGGATGCAGTGGACTCCCTTGTTGAAGAGATGATGGGAGCAGGGAGAAGTGGTACGAAGGTCAAAGGTCCGAACTTGGTGAGCACCCCTTCTTAAGAGCTCCAAACAAAGACTAGACCCAACAAATCCAAGCCCTCCGGCTACCACGAAGGTTTTATCCTCTATCCCCTCGTTCTTGCTCAAATGCATCTCTCTCTCTCTCTCTCTAGCTCTCTGTCTCTCTGTTTTTGTTTCTGCAGAAAACAGGCCCTGTCAGCGAAGTGAAATATTATTTTTTTTTAGGTTAAAATTTAGAAGAATATAAAATAGATTAAAATGACGAATAAAATAAAATCTGACATTTAATTTATAATTATTTTATTTATTTTATTTTGTAAATATCTTATTTAATTATAAAAAAAATATTAATTTTTTTAAATATAAAAATTTTAATTTATTAAAATAATTAAAAATTAAAATAACTTATTAAAATAGTTAATTACTCGTTTCACAATTTGTGTTACTGGATATTAATTCGCAATTCTTTATTTAGGGTCCGGAGTGAAATTGGAATGAGTCCAACTCTGGGGAGGCTTTGGCCCCAAATTGTCATTTTTCTCGTAATTTTTATTTTTCATAAATATACGTATTAAAAAGAAGAAGAAGTCCCCTACTCATGAGTACGAATAGGCCCTTATGAAAATCAATCAAGGCCGGCCCAGCATGAGAAAGAAAATGGGCTTGAGTCAGATATTTGAGCCACTTGTATTGTATGCCCTATGTTCAATCATGCTTGAAAATGGGTCGGGCCCATCAGGACACTCAGTACACCGCTCCCTCGCTTACAACAATGGAGAGTTGTTCCACTACATATACGCTCTCGTTTCGGATTGCGGGCTTTGCGTTCACGAAATATGCTTTACTCATTTCGCTTCTAATCGATCATTCTCTCGCAGAATTCAATTGGTAAATCAATCTTCTTCTTCTTTTTTGTCACACATCTTTGTGTTCATGTGTGTAAACTGTCCATGCTAATTTGTAAATGCACGATGATTTAGCAAATCTATGAAGTAGATAACAATAACAAAAAGAAAAACCACACAATTACATTATGAAATGTGTGATTGTGATTTTTTTTTCATTTCAAGTTTGAAAATCAAACTAAATCCACCAATACTTTATGACGAGTGGTTAAAGACAATTCATATTGATTATACATTTGGTTGTTTGTAGAAGGTGATATATTGCATTCCCTTTTGGTGCATTGTTATTACAATTGGAGGTTGAGTTTTAACCACTTTAATTGGAAAATTGGGTGAAAATTTGGGAGAAATTACAAGGAGGTGTGCACTGTATGTAGAGTGTTTTGTAGATTTTGCATGCCTTGTCCACCTCATGTATAGGAAAATTCACTTGTAACTTCATTAAATCATCAATTTGTGTTTTTTTTTTTTTTTTTTGGATTCCCCATTGACAGATGGGTCAAAAACTGCTTCCATCTTGAAGTCAGTTTTAGTTAACTCCATAATAGATGAGAGAAGTTGGAAATTCTCAAACATATTGTTAATGAGATAGACACTTGTGAATGTATAAAAGATCATGTGGCAATGCTGGGTAGCTCAAATATGAGGTTGGCTTGAATGGCTCGAAATTCATCTTGCCGGTCGTCCGAGCGGATGTCTGGTCGGCCGTTCGTTGAGGAGGCTGACAGTCGACAAAGGTGACAACCGCAGTAAACAATCTTTCACCCGGTCGTCCAGGCGGACGTCCGGCCAACACTCATTCGGGCCATTCGAGCCCCTCCAATTCGAGCTACTACGCTTTTTCCAAGATCATGTGAATCAGGTTATCCCTTTATTGAGTTGGAAAAATTGAAAGATCTTAGTAGTTGGTCATTAATTACATTATATGAGCATTAGTATGACATGTGAACATTATGTATCTTAATTCTTATCAACTGATATATAAATATTTATGTGTATTGTATTGTATTTGTATATATATATGCTTCTTTTGAGAAAATATGTGTTTTCATTTAATGTACATTGTAAGTGCAGACGTGGTTCTTTTCAAATGTAACAATACCATTGTTAAAAACTTAATACTTCATTGGTGTATGATCATGTATTTTTTGTACTATACCGGTTTTTCATTTATTTTTATTTTACTGTGGTTAGCAGCACATATTATTATTTTGCTTATTACGCTTTTCTATGCACAAATGATAGTAAACATGATTGACTATTAAAATCTCCAGTCGTCTTGATTATATTTTAAATAAACTATTTCCATATCTTGAACCTAACCTAATTGCTCCAAGTCATTAAAACTTCGCTATTTCTTCCTGTATTTGCGTACCCATGTCATGATGTGGTGGAGGGAATGGAGGTTGTTTTTGTCTGTTCCCTTTTCCTAATTCTTTGAACTACTAGTTTGCCTTTCAGTATATGTTAGTCAACAAAATTTGAAAGTTCTTCTCTATATGGACACTTCTGTATATGGTTCAAATTTTTGTTGCTGGAGATGAGTTTCTCTTGTTTAATACCTAAGAAGTATGGACACTTCTAAGAAGTTGACGTATCCATGTCGTGTCTGTGTCGAAGACTAACACTCTTTGGACACTCTTAGGACACGTGTCTGACACTCTTCAAAACATGTCCTATTTTTAAATTTTTTTTAAAGACCTTGTCACGACCCAAACCCGCCCCTGTAGGTTTGGCACCGTAACTGGCTAGTAATCCATGGATTACCAAAGGCCTCTGAACATACTAACAAATAGTAAGGGGCTGCGGAAGCAAATATATAAAATAAACAAGGTCCAATGAGCTGTGATGACGTACATGAGACAGAAAATTCAAAACTTATTTATATAAATAAACATACTAGTCAAGTACACCAATATGTACAAAGTATTTACAAAACGTATTCCCAAGATCTGACATTACAAAACACACATACAGACTAGCATGGTTACAAAAACAGCCATGGCAATAGGCTTTCAAGCGGAACCTCCTTGGGAGGCGCAACATTTGGCTGACAAAACGGAACGGAAGGCCGCCAACTCTGGCCTGGGTCATGTGCCGCCTCACCTACATATATATAGTAAACTGTGAGCGAAAGCCCAGTGAATAATAAACAGAGTAAAGGGGTTTCAATGAATGAGTTCGTACAGATTTCAGAAATCAATTCATATTGTATCAAAATCATACTTGTTCATATCATATACAGACAGAAATCATCAGTCATGGTTACATTTACGTGATACATCCATTAGCATAACAGAACAGAACGCCGAAGCGTAACAGACAAAACGCATAAGCGCAACGTTATGAATAACCTAGTTCCACGAAGGAACCTCCGGATCCGGGTCACAAAACAAAACAACTAAGCCCCTATGGCGGGCCTCCGGTACGGGTAACAGAGCACAGACAGAACGCATACGCGTGAGGTTACGAATAACCAGTTCCATAAAGGAACCTCCGATACCGGGTAACGGCTGTAGATATCACATGATACTAAGGTTGTCACGAATACATGTCAGAAAGTGAACAATCATTCATTGTACAGAACATATCATTACCGAAAACAGTTCTCATTTTGCCACACAGAAAATAAGTACAGTTGAACATATCTTTACTATGTTATTACTCACAGTGGGCGTTGAAACAAGCAGACGGAGCCAAAAGGTTAAACAGAATGCCGCACGTGACCTACATAACACATAACAGACACATATTTGAAACACATGCTCTATTTATACA